GGTGGGAGGGAGGAAAGTGGAAAAGGTGGGCAAGTTGGAAAAGGTGGGCAAGTTGCTCAGGAGCATCAGAGAAGATTTGTTATCCTCGGTCTGAATTTTTGTTTAGAAAAGAAGCACAAGGTAGTTCCTTTCCAGACCAATCATCTGTGGTCCTAATTTTTGAGTGTGCTGGAAGCAGATTGCACGTGTCCCCCCTGCTCCATGCTCCTGGCTTGACCCAGAGGGCAAGAAGAAATAATGGTGACGACACCTAATAGGACTGGGGTACTCATGCCCTTTCGTTGCTAGACCCCCAGTTACTGCCCCTTTCTCTTCCCTCTGCCCCTTAGTTTCCCTTTGCCGTGGTCCTGAAATTTGGGGTTGTTTTTGTTGGGTTTTTTTCTGTCCTGATGAGGGCACCATTGCAGACCATGATGTGCCTGGGGTTGTGGGCAGCTGCCCTGCTCTGCTTGTTTTCCCCTGGCACCGTGCGAGGTGACTGCTGGCTGATTGAGGGGGACAAAGGCTATGTGTGGCTGGCCATCTGCAGCCAGAACCAGCCCCCGTATGAGACCATCCCCCAGCACATCAACAGCACGGTGCATGACTTGCGTCTCAACGAGAATAAGCTCAAAGTGGTGCTGTACTCCTCCCTCAACCGCTTCGGCAACCTGACTGATTTGAATCTGACCAAGAATGAGATCTCCTACATTGAGGATGGGGCTTTCATGGGCCAGTCAAACCTCCAGGTCTTACAGCTGGGTTACAACAAACTCACCAACCTAACAGAGGGCATGTTGCGGGGCATGGCTCGTCTCCAGTTCCTCTTTGTGCAGCACAACCTAATTGAACTGGTCACCCCGACTGCCTTCTCCGAGTGCCCCAGCTTGATCAGCATTGACCTGTCATCTAACCGTCTCAGCCGTCTGGAGGGGAACACTTTCACCAGCTTGAGCAATTTGATGGTGTGTGAGCTGGCTGGCAACCCCTTCAACTGCGACTGTAGCCTCTACAGCTTTCTTAACTGGCTGGCAGTCTTCAACAATGTCACCAAGAACTATGACCGGCTCCAGTGTGAGACTCCTCGGGAGTTTGCTGGGTACCCACTCCTGGTACCTCGGCCTCACCACAACCGCAATGCCATCACCATCTTCCAGTCCATGTGCAGAGGTGGCACCATCCCCTCCCTTTCCAGGGTCAACCCCACCCCTTATACCCCTGACTCCCAGCGAGACCTGGATGAGGGCTCAGCCATCAGTCCTGGAGACTTCCTCTCAGTCAAGCCTCCAGCCTCCTCCACTACTGACTCCTCCTTCAGTCCCAGCATCAAGCTCCATGATGTCACCATCACCTCAGCCATCCTGATGGTAACCATCCCCATGCCCTACAGTAAGATGTATGTGCTGGTCCAATACAACAATAGCTATGTTTCTGACATAGCGACACTGAAGAGCAAGAAGGAATATGTCACTGTCAACAAATTGAAGGCCCACACTGATTATACTTTCTGTGTGGCCTCCATTCGCAACAACAGGCGTTACAACCACACTTGCCTGACCTTTGCAACCCGGAGCAAAGGCAGGGAGGACCCTATTTCCAGTACTTCCACCACCACCCACTATATCATGACCACGCTGGGTTGCCTCTTTGGGATGGTCATTGTCCTGGGGGTGGTGTACTACTGCCTACGGAAGCGAAGGATGCAGGAGGAGAAACAGAAGTCCCTCAATGTCAAAAAGACCATCCTGGAAATGCGTTATGGATCAGATATTGATACAAGTACTATGGTCCATCCTTCCCAGAAGCTGGGTGAACCACCAGTCATCCCTGTCTCACGGATGTCCTCCATCCCTTCCATGATCGGGGAGAAGTTGCCCCCATCAAAGTCAATGGATGCTGGGATGGAGACTCCTAAAGTCACCACTAAAGGCAACTACATTGAGGTGAGGACTGGTGGTGGGGATGGGCTGGAACGAGCCCAGCGGGATGAGGACCTGAGGGAGCTTGACAATGGGCAAGGGTCAGCTGCTGAGATCTCTACTATAGCCAAGGAGGTAGACAAGGTCAACCAGATCATCAACAACTGCATTGATGCCCTCAAGCTGGACACGGCCTCCTTCTTGGGTGGTGGAACTGGCGTTGACTCAGACATGGCCTTTGAGTGCCAGTCCATCCCAGCCAGTTCCTCCGGTGGGCTAGAGCGGCCCAGCTTTCTTTCCCCACCCTACAAGGAAAGCTCCCATCACCCTTTGCAGCGCCAGCTCAGTGCTGATGCTGCTGTGGCCAGAAAGACCTGCAGTGTCTCCTCTAGTGGCTCCATCAAGAGCGCCAAGGTCTTCAGCTTGGATGTGCCTGACCACCCACCACTCAGCAAGTCTGACTCCAAATACATTGAGAAGGGCAGTCCACTCAACAGCCCTTTGGATCGTCTTCCCTTGGTGTCCCCGGGCGCCATCCACCACTTGGAGGTCAAGCCTTCTTACCATTGCAGTGAGCACCGTCACTCCTTCCCGGCCCTGTACTATGAGGAAAGTGCTGACACCTTGAGCCAGCGGGTGTCATTCCTCAAGCCACTCTCCCGGTCCAAGCGAGACTCCACGTACTCCCAGCTCTCCCCCAGACACTACTTCTCAGGCTACTCCTCCAGCCCTGAGTACTCATCAGAGAGCACCCACAAGATCTGGGAGCGATTCCGGCCTTACAAGAAGCACCACAGGGAGGAGGTTTACATGGCGGCTGGGCATGCCCTGAGGAAGAAAGTTCAGTTTGCCAAGGATGAGGATCTGCATGACATCCTGGATTACTGGAAAGGAGTCTCTGCTCAGCAGAAGCTGTGACTCTCCTCTCTTTCCAAGGAAACAATACAAAACAAGACACCCCCTTCCCCAACAACCAGAAAAAAAAAATATGCCACTTGACTGTGAAAAATAAACCAACAACAAAATACTCCCGACAAATACAAAACTGACAAAATCGTTTCTTAAAGTTTACAACAACAACAGAAAACTCTCTCACACACAGACACACACAGACACACAGACACACACACACGCCGAATTGTCTCTACTGTGTTATGGGGACCATTGTTCTGCCTGCAGATGGTTGGGAGGAGCCTCCTGCTCTGACACTGTGGTAACAACACTGGAGTGTGGGTGGGTGGGAATGGCCTGGGAGGGGGTGGCAATGGTGGCAGGGGAAGGGCAGGGATGGACACTCACTGGGCATGAACCTCAGCTGTGAACTATTGCTCTTTCTGTTCCTGTTGCGGGCTGATTTTTCTTTGCAGGGGGAAGGGGAGGACTTCAGTTTAGAAGGCTTCTCTGCCCACCTGATACACCTACTTTTGAAAATCTTCCATCATTATTTTTGTTCCCTATTTACTTTGCCAGTGGAGGCTTTTCTTTCTCTCCAGTACACTTTTGAGATATGTGGGATTTGTTGGAAGAAGTTATCTCACTTCTTTTCCTTTTCCTCTTCCCTACCCTTCTCTGTTAGGATTCCCTAGGCTTGCACTTTCTGTCTGGATGCTTCGCAAACCTCCATCCTCCTTGGAGGAAGGAGAGGAGGTGCAAAGGACTGAAGGGAGGTAGGGCTTGCCACACTACAGGCTCTGTGCCCTTGCTGCTCTTCCTCCTTCCCTTCTCCTGCCATGTCGTTGCTGATGAACACCAGCAATTCTGGAGTGATAGGCATTCTCCAGGCCTGTTCCGAGCCTGTTTTCTGCCAGTTGGTGGGGTGTATGAATATGGTCTTTGGCATGGCAAACTAGGTCCTCAAGGAGTGGTGGAGGAAAAGGCAGGAAGGTACTGTCTCTCAGTGGTGTAAAATGTTCCCACCTCTCCATGGGTGTCACAGGTCAGAGGTCCTCCCCATCATACACATCTATGCTCAGGCTGCCCTGGTCCAGGGGGTTTGGTATGCTCTGTTCATGTTTCCCTTACTACAAGGAAGGGACGCAGAGAGGAACTGAGGAGAACAAGTTCTACACAAAGCTTCTGCAGCTCTTCCCAACTGACTTGCACAGTGGAATGTGGGGTGGATGGGTGTGCATGAGAAGAGCATCACTCATCTTCCTCACTTGCAGGTGGATATAAAGAATAGGATTTCAGTCCCTCACTTCACTCGGTTGACAGAAAAGCCACCAAGTGGCTTCCTCTTGCACAGGCCGTGGACACTCTGGCATGGATAGGAGACAGCCTAGGGTGAAGGCAGGAGCACAGGAAACAAAAGGGATGTGAGAATGGGGCCTGGGAGTACCCCAAGAGGGATGGCTCCAGGAGAAGCTCCCTTTGTGTGTGCAGCCACACTGTGTCCACTGGGATAGAAGAGGATACCAGCCTCTGGATGGCAGTGCTCCTTGGAATTCTTAGAGGTCCTCATGAGAGTCAGAGCAACTTGTCACCTCCTGAATCTTCCACCTGCTCACAGCCATGACAAACTTTTCTTAGGGATCCTTTAATATCTTGGCAAAAACCTGGTTTCACTTGTTAGGTCCCAACCTCTGTCCCTTGGGTAGAAGATCTGCCACAGATTTGGGAATGAGCCTACCACCCTCTCCACTTTATCCCATTTCTGAGCAGCTCAACAAAGCACAATCTTGGCACTGTTTTCCCCAAAGTTTTCTTGTCAGGCAGGGGTGCTGCCTGCTGAGTGCATCTTTATGCAGCACAGTGGGCCTCCTCTCCATGAGCTGCACACCCAAATTCTTGACAATCGTTCACCTCTATCAGGATGAGGGTGAGGGCCTGTGTTGTGCTGGCCTTTCCTAAGTGGCACTCCTCAGAAGCCCTAGTGTTTTTGGAGAAGGATGAGGGTGTAGGAGTTTCTCTGGGAGGGATTTATGTGCTGCCTGCAGAGAACCTGCCTGTTATCTGTCAGGTAGTAGCACTGCCAGCTGAGAGCTGGTTCATATGCCACAGGTGACATGACTTCGTCTCCTGCATGTTCTGTAGGTGAAGAGCAGCGGTAGGCAGAGCCTAGTATGTGAAAACCAGAAGGGGAATCCCCAAAATCTAAATTTGTGAAGATCTGTGGGGTTCCTTCCCTGTAAGGATGATGAAGGTAACAATCCTAAGCCAGGTCCTGATGCCATTGCCTCAGCCTCCTTCACTGTCAGCTTGCTTCCCCACAGTCTAGGCATTGTTTTACTTTGAGTCCGGAAGTATTCATGGGACAGACTCCCATGTAAGAGCCAGTCCAACCCAGAGGAAGGGGTGTGTGTGCGCACACGTGTGTGTGTGCATCTGTATATGTGCAGGAGGATGAAGGGAAGTCACATCACTGCTGCCAGGTGTCCCTCCATGTTGGGACAATGCAGCAAATCAAGACAGGTAAATGCTGTGAGAGATGCTTAGGCACATCAGAGACCTCTCCAGCTACCACATGGAGAAGGCCTAGTGGTCTTCCAGCGTGGCAACCATCCAACCAGGAAAGACTAATGGCTGGGGCACAGAACTGGACAGGAGAAGAGGGATGACAGGCATGGGGGGATGGAGTCATGTTCCTCTCCCCACCTCCACCTCTTCCCTCCCTGTGCTTCTCTGCTGTATGGTCTTGCAATCAGTTCCACTCAGTCTATAATTTTTTTGGGAGAGTTAACTTCTAATGGTTTCTACTCCCTCCCCCCATGGCCCCAACAAGGCAGAAATGAAAGGCCCTTCTTTTGCCTGTGGTGGGAGTAAGGCTGGGTAGGAGGGACAAGCCATTTCTCTCCCAACTGTAGCCCCCCACTCCAAACCAGTGGGTGAAGTTTGCACAAGATGGACTGTTCTGTGGGAGGAAGAGGGCAAGGAAAGGGAACAAAGTGTCCCACCTTCCTTCCTCCTCCTTTCTTCCTTGTCCTGCTCCCTCTCCAGGGACAAGGGCTCACAAAGTGATGCCAGCCCTGTTGGAGGAAAGCAGATTTAACGTTCTATTTGCATGATGATTTTACTGTATTTTTCTGAGCAAACACCTGTTGTGTATGTGCCAGTTTGTTGGAATTTAACCTCCTTCCCCAAAGTCTCTCCCATCCTTGTTCCTGTTTTCCCTGTTCCTTCATTCATCCCTGATGTGATTTTATGACAGATTCCTACTGGTTTGGGAGGGAACACACCCCAAAGAGAACCCAACCCAATCAGCCCCATAAAAAACATTCCTTCTTCTTTCCAGTGTCTCCCTCCGCTTGCCCCAAATGTGGTCTCTCAGCTGCTTTTCAGGGTTGTGTATGTGAAGGGGGATGTGTTACATACCAAAGGCCTGCTCTTTCTAGTGGTCATCATTTCTCCTAATTATTTTGAAACAGGAGTGAGGCCCATCAAGATAGCTCTTGTAGGAGAAATGGTCACTACCATCCCCATGCTCTTTCCCCAAATCTACAAGCAAGGCAGTTCTTGGGGGAACAAGGAGTGCTTCAGCTACAGGGAAACCTCTGATACAAAGAAAGCTTGATGTGGAGCTGGTTGCAATCACTAGAAGACCACCCACCACCTTCCTCTCATTGATTGCAGGGAGTTCTGGATTAGGTCTGTCGTACCCCTCCTCTCCTGTGGGTGGCTCTGGCAGAGGGCAGGTCAAGATAGAACCTTTAAGGTCTCTGTGGTCAGAAAAAGCATGGAGAGACTGCTTGAAGTTTCTAAGCTTCCTATGGCTTGGCTTCGGCAAGAGTCCCTCACACCTGCCTTCTTCCAGGGCAAAGCGGATCCATGGAGCAGAACCTGTACCAGCCCCTTTCGTACTTTATTTTTGGGTTGGTGACTCTTGGCAGAGAAAACAGGGGTTTAGTTCACCTCATTGAATGGCGTGGAAGGTGAGGAATGAGTTTGGGTGCTGACCTGCCCTCTCCCCCAGGAACAGGCTCAAGAGTGAAGGTGAGACCCTTGGCCTGCTGTTTCAGTGGGGCAGAGCCCATGCTGCCCCAGCTTATGCTGCGGTGCCACGTTCCTCTCTCCCCCTCCCCACTCTTCCATGCTGAATAAATCCCTCCTGAGGCAGGTGTGAAATATTCATGACTGACAAATGAAGATTTATGTCGGGCTGAGGAGGCCTCTGTGTGTTTGCAATGCTAATCAGCCTGCCTTCTTGGAGGAGGCTCTGCCAGGCAGGCTTGGGGAAAGGAGGGGGAGATGCAAGAGGGAAGGGGGAAAAGGAGCTGAGGAAGAGAGAGGAGAGGCAAACACAGCAGGGGTGAGGGAGGTGTGGTGGGACCAAGACTGGGGAAGCAAAGAGGTAGAGGGAGATGGAGAGGGTGGAGAAGAGGGATAGGCTGGAAAGACCAGGGAAGAAAAAGCCGCACTGGAAAGAAAGGGATGGTAAAGAGAGAAAGGGAGCAGCAAGAGAAAGGTTTGAGTGCAGGGGTGGTGGCTCCCAGAGAGGAGGTGGAGAGTAAGTCAGCAGTGCCTGAAGAAAGAAGCTGGGCAGAATTCATGATGAGCTGTGGCCACTCTCTGTAGGACAGAGCTCAGCGCTACAGGGCGGGCAGCTGCCACGCGGGCAGGAGCTGGACCCAGGGCCCCGAAAGCACATTTGCCATGCTCGCTGCTGACCAGAAAGCTCAGCTGCGTCTGGAAGGACACACAGCCTCCAGGAGCCTGGAGAACAGCCCTTCCGCCGCCACCACCTCCTTCAGCACAAGACGCACGCAAGGAGAGCCTCATGGAGCCGCGTCCTCTTGCTGGAGGCAGCCTGCTGCTGTCCCACCATCTGGGCAGGAGGGAGCATCTTCAGGGTGGCTTGGTGTTGGGATGGACACTGAGTGCCACCCTCCACTGGGCTACTGGGGAGGGGGTCATCTCTCGTAGGGTTGGTGGAGCCTGCCCCACCTCGGCTGCCCCCTGCCCACCCTGGCTGAGGCAGGTGTTTTTGGGTTTTTCCCCAAAGAAGGGGCAGAGGGGAGCATCTGTGGCCTCCCCTGTACACACGCACGCACTCCCGCACCCAGTCCCTCCAGCCGCTTTGGCCTTGTACTGTGAGGGGCGTCCTCGGTCTGCCTCCCCCCCGACTTCCCCTGCCACGCGCCGTGGGGAGACCTCTCTGCGTGCTGTCCCACCAGGGGACAGCCCTGTGTCCCACCCCTCCAGCCCTGTGGAGGGCTGCCCCAACCCGTCCCCCCATCCCCAGGTGGAGAGAGGGCAATCTCCGCCCGGCTTCTCCTTCTCCTCTCCTCCATGCCCCACCAGGAGGTAAATCACCCCTTCTCCCCCCTTACGGTCCCCTCTCCCTCTGCCCCATCCTCGCGCATTTGGCTTGGCCTTTGCCTCCCCCATAACTACCACCGCCACTGTGAGGCCTTGCTCTTGGGTGGCCTGACCCCCCCACCGCCTGCTCTTCACCTTCCCCAGGAGGAGAGGAAGAGGCCAGGCTGGGTCAGGTTAGACCTTCCAGGGCTGGTACGGCTGGTCCCTCCACAAGCACAGCACCTGGGGCGAGGGGGTGGGAAGGGGCAGGCAGCTGCCGGGCACAGAGCCGGGGGTATCAGCCCTTGAATGTAAGGAAGGGCCTGGGAGGCAGCTGCTGGGACTGGCTCCTTGTGGCCTCTTTGGTGTTCCTCCTTCCGTAACAACCCTGTGACCCCCCCTGGTTGTGTATGGACAAATTTCAGTTGGAGCTATGTTCTTTTCTTTTCTTCTTCCTCTTTTTTTTTTTTTCTTCTTTTTTTCTTCCTTTTCTTCTTTCATATTTTTATTTCTTTCTACTTTCTTTCTTTCTTTTTTTTCTCTCTTTCTTTCTTCCTTTTCTTTTCCTGTTTTAAAACTGAATGGCACGAAATCGTTTTTCCTCAACTCGGAGATTCCTGTATGGAGAAAATCAATTTCTATATTTGCAATAAATTTCTTATTTAAAAAAAAAACAAAACAACAAAAAAAACCCAAAAAACAACAAACAAAAAATATGAAAAGCTGCTTCTGAGTCCATTTGTCTAAGCCTTGTCTTGTAGAGGAGATGGGATGGGATGGGAGGGAACAGGGTACAGGAGAAACTGAGAATTTTGGGGTGGGGTGTGGGATAACGATTCTGGATTCTTCTAGACACCCAGCAGCCATCTGCTCCCCCCAGACACACTGTTTCTCTGCCCTTGGATATTGCCTTGTTTGGACACATCCTCATTTTTACTGAGTCCTCAGTTCTGACATGATGCCAGTCCCCCTCCTGCACCGGTCATCAGCTCCCAGTTTATGCCCCATTCTGGGCATGTGTACAGCCCTGTCTGGGTGCAGGGCAGCGCTTCCTCGCCCATCATCTGCACAACAAACCCTCAGCTGGTGTTGAGAGGTGTCCTCTGCCCAAGTTCCAGAGCTGTCTGGAGGAAGGCAGTCCAAGCCAGGTGATTTGGCCATGGATAATGACTGAGCAATCTGTAGCCTAATCCAGCAGCAGACATCCTGATCTCAGCTCTTCCTAAGCATCAATATTTAAAGTCAAGAATATAGCCAGCAAATCCGTGGCTATTGATGCATTTATACACATAATTAGGCCAATTTGTGCATGGTGACATAGCAGCCATTCCCTTGCATGTCTCGCCTCTTCTTCACCTCCTGTTTTGTCTCGTTTCTAGTTTCTCCATGAGTGGCACTGCTGCTTGGCTCAGAGGGTTTCCTCTTTTGCCTTTGCACATCCAGCTTTGATCAGACAGGTCTAACTGCAGCTTCTGAGCTTCCTTCTTGTGTGTGCTAAGCTCACAGCCTCTGCACTTAACGTAGGGAGAGGGAGGAATATATGGTTTTGGAGGGGTTATAAATATGGACACAACAGTGACTTTCAGCTCCTGGATATATATGCTGCAGTAGCTGACAATTTATTAATGCTTGAATTGATTTTAGAGCAGCCTTGGGGGCAGATGCTACTACAGGCAGATGCTTCACAGTCTGACACGTTCTTCATTGGACTTGGGAAGAATGATTGAGTGTGGGAAGGAGCAGTGCTCGGCTGTGCATCTCTGGGGGATGGATAATAGTGTATAACAAAAAGGAGCTCTCCTGGGTTAATCAGAGCTTCATGTGCTTGGTGGAAAGCTGGATCATTGGGTCAAGGTGGTGTTCTTGGCATCTGCATCTCTGCAGTGCAGGGATAGGGGCCTTCTGAGACAGGGAATCTCAAACCTTGGGAGGAATAAATGCATAAATTATAAAGAGGCGTAATCTAATCAGTGGAGTGCCCCCATGCTGTTTATTTTGTTACTAAATTCGATTTTATCTCCACAGTCCCTGCATTTCATCTGGTTGCTCTGCCACAGGGAAGAGAAAGGACAAGATGTATTTGCAAATGCTGTCTAGGGGAAGCGGGAAGCTTTGGTAAGGAAAGACTGTCAGGGCTGAAGTAATCACAAATGTCCTAAAGCCAGGTGGGGACTGTTGGGCTAATGGGACACCAAGGCACTGTAGTCAGCCCTCTGAGCCAAAATGAGCTCTGATGAAAGAGTTAAGCAGTGCTTGTATTTAAGCAGCTGATTCTAGTCAGAGACCTTGGGAGTCCTTTGCTCTGCACAGGGTTGTGTGAGCTGGTGTGTGTCTGGGGAAGGGATGAGGTGTGAGCTGCATCTGGGAGTCTGTGTTGTTCTCTCAAGTACCTGTAAATATGACTGTGTCCAACTGATGCAGTCCCTGCAAGAAACCACATGGACCTCTGCATCCAGAAGTCTGCTTGCTGGACCATGATGGCTGTGTTGGATGGGGGAGAAATGCCGAGCTCTGTGTTATGAATGATGAAGTGGCTGCAGTGGACAATGTGAGAGAGGAAGTCACCTGGGTGCCCCAGCTGGTGAGCTGGCCTACTAAGCAAACCCATCATGGAGAAGAACTGTGTAGCTTCACATAGCCTCATGTTTTAGGCTGGCTGCACACTCAGGAAGACCGTTTTGTGTTGATTCTTGCTGTCATGGTTCTTTTTCACTCCTATGAATTTCAGTAACTTATCCAAGCCATAATTTGCTGCAGCATAGGAAGAATTGTCTTAGCCACAGAGCCTATTGCTGGAAATCATACGGGACAGCTGAGATCTCTTTACGTATATGTACGTGTGCATATGCGTATGTATTGAAAAACCGACAGGCAAGTGGGCAACATTGCCCTCTTCTGGACCGACTGTCAGGCCTGGAAAAGCATCGCTGGTGGAGCTGCAGCCTGGCAGATGGATCCCGTTTCTACTGCAAAGGTAACATCCTTTCTGAGCCTTTATTTCCTACCCAAATCCTGGGTTTTACAATAGCCAGGTCAGATTAAGAGATAGCAGTGCTCTCTGGAGCTCCAGTGCCTGGGAACCCTGAGCAATCATGAGTCCTCAGGGTCAGGCCAAGCCTAAGAGAGCAAAGTGAGGAATCTCTCCCATCTAGATAAAGCTGTCTCCAACAGAACGGGTAACCAACAGCCCTGAAGGGCAGTGAGCACATGGATGAGGGTTTGAGGGTCACACTGCTGACATTTGTCCCAAGGGCTCTCCCGCAGGGAGATGAGAATAGCTAGGGAGTGATCAGGCCAACATCTTTCTCTAGGGCTTGGGTGCACTCTCAGTTAAAACACAAAGGTGTGTGTCTTGCAGAGCTGGAGAACAAGCTGAGATCTACACAGAGCCCAGGGGGATTTGGGGGGCGTAATTGCTCAGGCCATGCCCACCCTTAGCAGGGGAACAGAGGATGTCACTGAACTAACTACCTGTGCATTTCCCTTCTCATCCTTGGAGGAAACACAAAGAGAGAAAAAACAAACCCAAACAGCCTGACACAAAGATTTAGGAGTGAAAGGATAAGAGAGATGGAAGGAGGACTCAAATACACAAGGCACAGGTTCACACACATAATTAAGATGATGAATGGATTAATGTCACTGGTACTGCACTATTAGGCCAAACTCATGGTTCTGCCACAGGCATGGTGGGACTATGGAAGGGTGCAGAACTGCTCCATTCTTTGGCTTCCCAAGTATCTAACAGGGATCTGTGTCTTCCCTTGCCTCGTCAAGTTCCCTGGGACAGGGTCTGTCACAACATAGTTAGATGATACCTCTTGAATGGGATTGACAGACTACTCAGGGACTGACAGTTAACACTCATCCTTGGAGGAGGAGGGAATGGCATCGAAACTGAGTCCGAGGAGCTGCCCTGCTAAGCAAGGCAGAAGTAAGCAAGGGGCCCAGCCAATGCTACCGTGGAAAGTGGATCAAAAGCCTCATCACTTTTTAAATATGAAACACTTTAAAAAAGAATGGCATTCAGCTCCATCTCTCTGTGTATGTTGCCAGAAAGGGCATCATTAAGAATTCATTGCAACTTCTGCACCCAATTTTCCGGCCCAGTGCCTTGTCCCGCTTGTCTTGCTCCAGCTCCAAAGACAGTGGAGGCCCTGCCATGAGTATCGAGGGACAAACGGGACCTGAATAACAAGCTGGAGCTTGAAGAAAGGGCGGGGGGAGCAGAGGACCTCTGGCATGAAGTGGCTGAAGGAGTGAGAAGCACAGCCAGGCAGGCAGCATGAAGAAGAGCCAGGCTTGCCCACAGACTTAGGAGCAAATAGGCACAAACCTGCCCCAGCTGTGGGCTATCGCCTGCTCACACAGGCCTGGGGATCTCCTTGTAACTCTGTTCTTTCCTTTCGTGAGCATCTGGAGTTTATCCAGGGGTGAGGTTAAGGGTGGGAATGACTGGGGATTCCTAACAGCAGAAAATGGCCTGTGCACTGTTGAACCAAGGTCCTGAGCTGCAGGGACAGTGATGCAGCTGAATAAAATGGCCAAGCAAAGCAAAACTGTATCACAGGGTGGTTTCAGGGCAAGGAAGTGCTAGGCCTAGGAGATTAAGTCTACAAAGAACCGAAGTGGCTGTACCTGTTGTGTATTAGTGCCTCCAGTCGGAGCAAAGCGGCTGTTAATGTCATGATATATGTTCATCTGGAGGAAAAGGGGTTTCATTCTGGGCTTTTCTCAGATTGGGCATTGGACCAGAGGACACATAAGATCTCACCTTCTCATCCCTTTCCACTAAGGTGAGGACAGAGCTGTTGTCTCTATTTTTCTCCCATACGTTCTCTGTCTTGTGTCACCACCATCCACCAGACTTCCTGCCCGTGACACCCATTTCTCTTCATCTCTGCTTCTCAAGTGGCAACCAGGGAGATAATTGGTATTTTTGACACTATCTGTTGAGCACTTTGAGGCAGGAGCTGCCAGAATGAAGCCCTGAATTAGATAATTAGGGTTAATTAGAGGCTTTTCAGGGCTATGTTACCATACTCCATGAGGACGGTGCCTTTGAGGCAGAAGGGAGGAGTATGGAGGTGTCAGTGGCATTGATAGTGGATGTAGTGGCCAGGAAAAGGGTGTTTCACCTCCTTAGTGGCATTGGAGATGCTGGGGTGGAGCAGAGAGCTCAGAAGAGTGAGAAACGAGGTTGGGCATATACTGGAGTGGGGCAGTAGGGGGACATGATGGTGGAGAAAATGCAACTGAGAGAGCCAGTTCTCAGCACCAGCTGATGGGAGTTTGGCTTTGGCTGCAGCAAAAACAGTGTCTTTCTAAAACCCAGCAGGTAAAAAGAAGCCATGAGGAGGCAGATCAGCCTGAGCTGGTGCTGAGGTCTAATGACTGATGTGGTGGAGGTGGAGAGTTTTTAAACTCCTATGGAGTTGTGGTGTGATGTTGGAAGGGGAGCTGGGTGGTAGGTCCCTCACTGGTCCTCGTTCCTCCCTCCACTGCTGCAGGGAGCTGAGCTGGAAGGCAGAACTTGTTAGAGCAACGTCCATAAAAACCAAGGCTTGAGTGACCTCTGCAAGGCACTCAGCCACCCACAACTCCTCTCTGGTGTGCATAGCCTGCTTCTGTAAGAAAGCATCATGGGCCCTTCCTGCTTCTCTGAGAAGGGTCAGGCTGCCTGTGACTGTGTGTGCGGTGGAGGGGGGTACCAGTCCAGTGG